GGGTGCGAAGGAACTCATGCGTACCGGTGGGGGCGTACGTTTCCGTGAAGTTGATGTCTTTGGTCTGTCTGAGTCGCGAGCGCCGAGCCGTGCTCCATATTGATTTTAAACACCCATTTGGAGGTGACGTTCAGAACGTCGGGCGGGAGGTTGGCAGTATTGCGTAGAAAGTAGGTACCTATGGACCGGAGGCTGTTTATTCCCGATTAAGAAACGATTAGTGATAATATTATTCATCTCATTTTGGGGTAAACTATTGTATGTAGAAAAAAAGTTATTGTAATAATATTACTAGAAAATGAGTGTTTATAATCGATAGCTAAAAATATGTTAATGAATGATTACTGGAAAATGAGACATTCAGCAAATACAAGAAGATAAGTGAATCATAAATTGCTAATAATAATAAAACAGTAACAAGCGATTAAGGGGGGTGCGCTATTTGGAAATCGGAAATCAGTGGAAATTATTTTATTTTTTTATTCTTCTTCAAAATAACCCTGCTCAGGTTGTATAGCTAACGAAATGTAGCACGTATTCTGTTGGTTTAGCTGCCGAAAACGAAACTGCTGAAGATCAACTATTCGTACACATATCCACCCTCACCATCCTAACATACATTGGCGTCCGAACCTATATTACAACATGCACAACAGGCCTAAATATGTAGCACAACATTCTATGCGGGGATTGCGATGTTTTCAGCACTATGGGTGTGGATACACGAACGAGCGACAAGGTGGTGGCGGCCCCACTAACAGTTAGTGTATGGAATGATATACTGGACGAGTATGAAGCCCTAATTGAGCAACACCCAGACGTACAACAAAAGACATTCGTAGAAGAGTGTAATAGAAAACGTGGTAAACGCATAACCACGTCCAATTTCTGCAAGAAACTCATGATACGTAAGAATGGAAAGGAGATAAAGGTCAGGCCAGGTTCACCTACTCTGCTACCGCAATCCATTCAAGACAGAATCACTAGAGCAGTGCAAACTCAGAATCGGGCAGGTCGTTCCATCACAGAAATTGCATTGATGAATATAATTCGTCTGGTATACTGGGACATCAGGGGATTGATAAATGAAGGTGCGTTTGTGGATGAGCTCACACAGGCCGAGGCGACTTTTCAGACACGCAGAACAATGTTGGCGTAGGCTGAGCGAAATGGTTGGTTGATCCAAAAAGCTGAGATCATACCTGCGAACAGGGAGTCAGGCGCTGATGCAGAGTTAATTTTAGGGTTGTAGAAACCCCTAAACCCTAAAACGTTTCAGAAGCAGATAGATGATCTGGAAATACATAGTATTGACCAAATATTACAGTTCGACGAGTGTAGATTCGGTGCCGAGCTGAAGAAGGCCGCGCGCAGCGTGAAGATTGAGAATACAAGTGCTAGTAAGCCTGCGCAGACCACAGGTAAAGGAGCTGCAAGCTGGCCAGGTGTGCCCTTGCTCCCCGCAACGAAGGGTTTTAAGCTCTTGGCACTTATCATTCTGATCAACGAGCCTTCTACGGCTAAGTGTAAAAGTCGGTCTCCTCTAGGCTGACTATACGATACCGATACGTTTACGTTAATAAGATAATCCGGTAATCCGTTAAAATGCAAAATGTTAAGCTTCAGCCCTTGGTTATGAGCAAAAGATTAGGGGATTTTAGACTAAGACTATTGTCTATATGCTCCGCTCTAATCACTCACTACTTCGGTCTAGATTTATTTGTGTTTTAGTTACCAAGACTAGATATCATTTCATTGGACGCATAGTTTACATTTCACGCCTCGAAACAATTACCGAATCAAACTAACCAATAAAATACCTCTAAGTCCAACTTAAGAATATAAAAAGAAAATCAAAACACCAAGCTGGTGCAGTATACATCTGCACCTAAACCCCATCCACTTGGTACCTAGCTCCCCATCCCATTTAAGGCATAGACGGGCACATCTAGTTGGCTGGCGAAGAGGAATCAAAACCATGTTGTCCTAAATTCTAACAACGCTGATCCTGTCCTTTTCTCAGTGGATTATCTTGCTCTGAGATCATTATCGAATCATACCATAGGTTTGTACCAACAACCATTTCATGCTTGAGACCCTCTCTCATGGTACTCTCATTAATTAGAGATTCCCAAAGTGTCATTTTCAGGTGTCAGATTGGTGTCGTTCCTATATTATGTACAATTCTAATTTTAGTGGAAAACCAATCTATGTTTGGAAAACTACCTAATTGTCCGCAGTAGAGTCCCATACTCTACCGAGTACTGTCACATGTTCAGAATCTTGAATTTCTCAGTTCTTGCTCATGTCCAATTCGTTAAACATATTCCAGTATTATAAGTATAACCGTTAATACGTTTTACGTTTATAATATACGTTAACTGTGCAGCTACTATTAGGAACCCGCTATTTTTACATAAGGGCATGGAGAGAAAGAGAGAGAATATTATGAAAGCACTCCCTGTTGATTTAACGGAGAAATCTAAGGTCGTAGGTACTAAGGGTGGATACCAAACGCTAGATAGTTTTCAGTATATAATGCAGGAGTTTCTATACCCACGTCTCCTGTGTTCTGAGGCAGGTAGACATCTCGATACATATTATCGAGAGATGGATGGGAATGCACTTCAAAAAAAAATACATCTTGTGTATGGATGGGGCGTCTATGCATGAAATGAATGAGAGTATATCACTCCGAATATGGAGCCGTGAGCGTCGTATGGTATGGTTGGTGCAAGTGATGCATGCCACTAACCTAACACAAATGCTGGACAGGCTGGGTTTCCGTCAACTAAAAGGTGTGAGGACTCATATTCTATACAAAAAAAAGCGATCGAGTTGGATAGGCTCAGTTATCCTGGAACTGATGTTATGATTGAGACATACAAGCAAACAATCGAACAGTTCAAGCCATTCAGTAGGTTGACGCCGGACATGTGGGGCTATGCCACTTTCCAACAAACATTCGAGGCAATTATTGCAACACACAAAAAGGCTTACCCGGAGGAGCGTGTTATGAGACTTTTGGGTCCTTCCATTTTACGACAATTCAGAACAGAGGTCTTTCAAACATCATGGGCCCAAGTTTGTGTTTACAGTGATGCCCAGCAACCCTTGGGTATGCGCTTAGACCCGAAGCAGGTTATTAAGCAGCCGCTTGTGCAAAGGAACATCATCACCAATGCAACCCACGAACGTAGTGCCAAGAAACAGCAGAACGCCGTAGAGAATGCCGTAGCACAAGTTGTACCAAACGCAATCGTAACGTGGTCGCCAGATGAACAATGGGGGTTACGCTCAGAACTTCTCTGCCGAGAAATGTAGACAGTTAGAGGGCAAGTTCGAGCGAGTACCAACAAGAGTTCCAGTGCAGGCCTCTATGAGCATTGTGACCATGATCGCCAGTGTGCTTGAAGATCGCGCACGATTCAAAGCACATCAGGACAAGAAGGATAAATACATACATCGTAATATATCAGATAATTAAACGTTAAGGGAGGAGCAGGCGGAGTATGAGAAAAGTGCAGCGGACAATATCGAAAAGGGCAGGAAGAAGATAAACCGCAAGGTTGAAACCATGTACGAAGACCAGGAAAGGGTCGAGAATGCCCTGAAAATATAGCAAAGTTGACAACACCCCAGGAACGCATTATTGCTAAAATAGACGCATGCACAAATACATGACCGTGAGAAGGAGATACTCGAGAATGATCTCGGACAAAACAGAAGAAAAAAGTATGCGACAAGAGAGCGCGGGCCAAGAAATTAACGACACTATGAATGACCGACTACATAAACTTCTGCAGTGTGATGGCGAGGTTGCCCTCGGGGAGGGGGACGAATCTGAGCTGCAGATGATGATCGATCGTCTGAAGCGCGACTTCAAAGGGGCAACTGCATCCCCAGAGTGTATGGCTACCAATATACACATATATTCATTGCAAGCACACACATAAACAACTATGTATACACAAAAAATCTTGCCAAACAATTTGAAGGCGTCGATGGGGTCAAATGTTAGCTTGAAATTATTGTATAGTCGTAGCTTTTTGTCGAAAAATCACAGAGCAAACTCAAATTACAATTTCCACTGATTTCCGATTTT